TGCTGTGAGCTGTGATGCCATGGCACTCTACTCAGGTGACAAAGTGAGACTCTGTCTCTAAAAAAAAGAAGAAGAAGAAGAAGCCAGTGTGAAACAGCTGCATACTGTATAACTTAAACTGTATAACTTAAACTTAACTTATGACGTTCTGGAAAAGGCAAAACTATGGAATATGAAAAGATCAGTGTTTACAGGGATGGGGGAGGGACGGATGAATAGGGAGAGCAAACAGGATTTTTAGGGCGATGAAACTATTCTGTGTGATACTATAACGTGGATACAATTGTGAAAACCCAAAGAATGTATGACACTAAGGGCCAGGCACAGTGGTTCATACTTATATTCCCAGGACTTTGGGAGGCTGAGGCAGGAGCATCCCTTGAGGCCAGTAATTTGTGACCAACTGGGGCAACAAAAAATGATCCATCTCTACAAAAAAGAGAAAAATTATGTGGGTGTAGTGGCTCATGCCTGAGGTAGGAGGATCACTTGAGCTCATAGGTTGTGTTTTGTCTTGTTTTCTTTTGAAACACAGTTGCCCTGTGTACAGTGCCATGGTGGCGTCATTATAGTTCACAGCAACCACAAACCTTTGGGCTCAAGCTATCCTCTTGCCTCAGCCTCCTGAGTAGCTGGGACTTTAGGTATGCACCACCATGTCCAGCTAGCTTTTTCTATTTTTAGTAGAGACAGGGTCTCACTCTTGCTCAGGCTGGCCTCGAATTCCTTAGCTTAAGCAATCCACTCACCCCAGCCTCCTAGCGTGGTAGGATTACAGACATGAGCCACCACACCCAGCCATAAGCCCAGGAATTTGAGATTCCAGGGAGCTATGATGACGTCACTCCACTCTACTGCACTCTAGCCCCACTTTGTAATCCCAGCACTTGGGGAGGCCAAGACAGAAGGATTGCTTGAGCCTAGGAGTTGGAGGATGCAATGAGTTATAATGATGCTACTATACTCTGGCCTAGGCACAGAAAGAGTTAAAAAAACATTCATCTGTGACTAGGGAAAGTTTACTTCTTCCTTTCCAATCTGGATTCCTTTTATTTTATTTTCTTGCCTAATTGCTAGTTTTTCTTTTGCT